GTTTTACCCCCCCCCCCCCCAAAAAAAAAAAGGACAATAAGGAAAAAAACAAGACATTGTGCATTTAAACTTTTATTTTCTCGCAATTGCTTCAAGGTCCCAAATCCCAACTTTGGATGTGCCCCAGTCCCCTCAACTTTCAAACATGTGCTGCAGCTCCCCCTTTTTGAAAAAATTGCGTCCAAGCTCCTCTCCCCAAGTTCTCATGCAAACTCCATACACAATTCCCATTTTACCCTCTCCTACACCCCCTCCCCTCTTCGTCCCCCCTTTGCCCCCCGCCCGCCTCCCTCCCCAACTCGGCCTCCCTCCTCCCCCTCCACCTCCCTCCCCTTCCCCGCCTCCCTCCCGGTGCACTCCCCCGCCTCCCTCCCCCCCAGCCTCCCTCCCCGCGGCTCCCCTCTATCACTCCCTCCTCCTCCTCCGGTCCCCTTCTGCCCCCTCCCCCGCTCCGTCGCCGACGCCGTCCCGAGGAACTTCACGTGGGCACAATAATGTTAACTCTTTTCTGTAACATGTTAACTCTTTTCTGTAATATGTTAAATCTTACAGCTAACATGTTAGCTGTAAGAGTTAACATGTTAGCTGTTACAGCTAACATGTTAGCTGTAAGAGTTAACATGTTAGCTGTTAGAGTTAACATGTTAGCTGTAAGAGTTAATATGTTATCTGTAAGAGTTAACATTTAACATGTTAGCTGTTAGAGTTAACATGTTAGCTGTAAGAGTTAATATGTTATCTGTAAGAGTTAACATATTACAGAAAAGAGTTAGCATGTTACAGAAAAGAGTTAATATGCTACAGAAAAGAGTTAACATGTTACACAAAAGAGTTAACATCCACTGACATGAAAAAGAGGAGGATAAATTCGGGATTTAAGTCAGCTGACATGTCTAATCATGAGCTGACATGTCTAATCAACTGCTGGCATGAGCTGGAATCATGATAGAGGGGTCTGGACACATTTTTTCAAAAAGGAAGGGCTAAAGAACATTAAAAAAATAGGAAAGGCTGGGGCACATTGAAAATTCAAACTTGGGACCTACAAGCAATTTTCCCTTGCATAAAACACCAAACAATCTTTTACCGCTCTCGGATAGAAAAATACTAATCTAAACTTAATCTGCGGGCGGCATCACTCCACCGGATCGGGTCTGAATGGTACGTACATCCGACCCGTTTACAGCCCCTCTGTGCAACGAACCCCTCTAGCTCAAAGCTTCAACGCTGCGAAGTCCAATTCGACCGAAAATTCTTCTTCTTGCTCTCTCTCTCTCTCTCTCTCTCTCTCTCTCTTTCTAGGGTTTCCACCAATCAAATAAAAATGGAAAACTGATAATTTTCCTAATTTCATTGGGTTAAGCTCCGATTAGGGGTAGGGCTTGCGGAATGGGGAACATCTTCGTGAAGAAGCCAAAGATCACAGACGTCGATCGAGCGATTCTCTCTCTCAAGACTCAGCGGCGAAAGCTCGGCCAGTATCAACAGAAGGTCCCTTCAATCTGTGGCTTAATTCTCTGTATTTAGATTCGATCAGTGTCTTGTTACTTTAGCGAATCGAGTACTCGCTTTTGCCTATTATCATCTTATCCTAGAAAGTTAACATTTTTGGATCTATTGAATTATCTGATACGCCTGTTGTGAATAATAATTAAGCTAAAAAGATTTTTTTCTCAAAAAAAAAAATCGAAAGTTTAAAATTTTGTGTAATTCTGTTATGGCGATGTTTGGTCTGCTTGTTGTCTATTTAGGCTTGTTAGAGATGAATGCTGTTGCGTTTGTTTCGTCGTTCTTGATTATTTTCTTGTAAAGGTTGCTTCTTAGTTGCACCAAAAAATTGATAACCAATATGGGGAGCCTCTTTCTTCTACACGATTAACAGCAGAACCTTGCATATAGCCCTTTCTATACAGAGCTGCGTCCAGAAGGGTCACTTTTTTTAAAATTATTATCTGCATATTTCCTGTGTATGTGCGCTCATGGGTACATATGTTAGAAAAAATGTTGGTTAAGAATAGAAATAGAACTTAAGCTAACGATTCTGCAGACAGTGGTTGTTATTATGCGCTATTATGTATACTTACAGTATGCAATTGACGAGAATATTCCACATAAAAAGTTAATTTTCCCTTCTACATTTTTTCCTTCCATCCCTCTCTTTTGTTTCCTCCTATTTTCAACCTTCCTGAATTATTTGCTCATTCAGATACCAACTCTTGAAAACCCCTTGCTTGCTGACAGTCTGGCTTCACAATCCTTGACCAAATATTGATATACTTTCATAACACCGATCTTCATTTGTGTTCAATGCTTTGTGGACCTCTCAGTCATTTCTTCTAGCATCACATTTCTGTTGCTTTGGTCCTCCCAGTCGACTCATCACTTTCTGGCATCATATTTCTCATGCTTTGGTTCTGTCTTGGTACTGCTGGCTTCTGTATCGCTTATTTGTCCACCATGAATGATGATATAGATCTTGTTATGTTACTGTAGGATTATCTTAACACTTTGACATTTTGTTTTCATCAAAGAAAGGCATACACTCAAACTCACTGAAGATATGGCGTGCTTTCACCTTTCTTTTTGATGATTAGTTTCATATTTTTCTTCTACTGCCACTAAGTTCACGTAATTATTGTACAACTTCTCCATAAATATGCTTCCTAGCGAATTGGTAACGCACATGTTTGTGCACGTGTTATCTTTCACAGCTGTTTTACTTGGGACTCATCAACAGCTATATTGTAATTCTTTTTAACTGTTTTATTGTTATAACAGTCAGTAGTTAATTTATTTAAACTTTTGAGTGAAGTCTGGGTTTATGTGACAGTGGTCAATCCCTTGCTTTAGTTTTGCTTGTTAGGCATTATTTGGATTTTGCACAGCTTATATATCTGTATAATTAAATAGCAGTAACTTGGTTATAAGCATCGGCATTAGTTCTATGCAGATTGCTAGTTGTTTGATGAGGATTTTTTTAACAAAATTTTTTTTTTAGCTGTCATGTTATGGTTGTACTTTTCCAACTCTATTAACTGCTCTAACCATTTGCAGTTTGGCACTTTATTTTATTCGACATTTTAGCATCCTTAATAATTTGCTTTTTGTGTTGAAATATTACCATCAGACATCAGCAGTCACCTGATGATAAAAGCATTTTGACTTGCCACTTTAGATTTAGTTGTTTGTTTATTTCAAATATTCTGGTTCCCTAATATGTTCCTTGCCAAAGATATTTAGTGTGTCATGTAATCTTTCATCTTTTTTACCCTATACTATCACTCAATAGTCAATATGGTAGGGTTGCGCTTCCCTGCATATTTATGGAGAAGTTGTTCTAGCTGTATTTACATTTTTTCCCTTTCCAGATATAATTTCTGGGGAGTTAATCCCCAGCTAACAGAATTACAACATCATTTAGAATTATGTAAAATGGACAACATACATAAAAAAGGGTCTAATCTAAATCCCTAAACCAGAATAAACCCAAATGATAAAGACTTTCCTCAACCCGAAATGAAAGCCGTGCCCAACAAAAGCCAGAAAAAGATATGTTATAACAAATACGAACTTCCACTAAGTTTTTACCTTGAAGACATGGAAATCATGCTATATAAAGATAGTAATCTCAAAACAAAAATGAAAGCCGGGGTTAAACTCTGATCTATGACAGTAATCTCCTCTCACAATGTTCTTCACCCGAAGCTCAACTTCTGAAGTAAACCTGTAGGTAGACATAGTGTTAGGATTGGCCACATCTACATTCCAACAGTCTGCTTACATCATCTCCTCTACGTCTTTGACTCTAATGTATATAAACTCTGATAGGAACAATGTCTTTTTGTGCCAATATCCATGCATTGATCAGAATCGCAACTCCTTTTGGTCCCGTAGACACCTTCAGCTTCCTTTTTGCCTTGTCATAGTATTTACTTAGCTGCATGTATATGTCAATCTGCTGTCTGTCTGTCATTACTCATGACTAAAAACAATTTGCACCTTTTTGTTAAGTTTTTGTGAATCTCCAATTAAGATTATTTTCTTTCCAAACATCTTGTTAATGTCTTCTCTTTTAGTTATTGTCCTTGCCTTTTTGTTGTTTTAGATGCTGGTCATTAATCTTTTCTAATTTAGATCATGAATTTTTGTTTATTTTTGGTAAACCTGGTTTCGGTTGTTCTTTGCCCTTTCTTTAGCATATCAGCGTTTCCTTGGAAAAGTTGTACTATATGCTCCCTTAGACGGTCTGTATGACCTGTAAAATGTTATGCGTAAAGCACTTGTCAGTTCTAATATATAGGATGTGATATTCAAATGGTACTCCTATTAATTCCCAGCTTGAAGTTGTGATTGAAGCTGAGAAGCAAGCTGCAAGAGATTTGATCCGGGAGAAAAGAAAAGACAGGGCACTGCTTGCACTAAAGAAGAAAAAGTCTCAGGAGGAACTATTGAAGCAAGTTGATACTTGGCTCCTCAATGTTGAACAACAAGTATGTATTTGAGCTTAGAGGAATGTATAATGCATGTCTCTTTCACCTGTTAGCGTCTTTTAGGCATATTGTTGTCTACTGTGGTTTCACATCCATTTATATCCACTGTTATATTAATTTTGATGGTTTTTCAGCTGGCAGATATTGAATTGACCAGCCGCCAACAAGCTGTTTTTGAAAGCTTAAAGGCGGGGAATAATGCAATCAAAGCTATACAAAGTGAGATCAACTTGGAAGATGTTCAGAAATTGATGGATAATACAGCTGAAGCAAAGGCTTACCAAGATGTGAGTTTTATTACACATATTATCCTTTTGCATTAGTAGTTCTTCTAGTTGAACCTCCATAGTCTTCTTTTGACTTTCAAAGTATTTAAAAAAAAGTGCATTCAGATGTTTAAAGGTACTATGAGCGTGTTCCGATCAGTGCCTTTCTGCTTAAAAATAGACATTTCAAGCATTTTTTAAAAACAAGAACTGTTAATATCTTTTCATCTTCATCTTCTTAAGTGAGTCTTTATGGGGTTATAGTTGCTAAGTTTGTACTTGTTTTGCAACTTTTTAGCATATATTCAGTACTCCAGAAGACGCTTTAGCCTAATCTGTGATGTTTGTATACAACAAGCATTTTCAGTTTCCTTCTTAAGTCTTGTTGCTCAATTAATCGTTAAGTTAAAAGGAATAGAAGTGCTTGGCTTTGTGGCCGCTAAATTAGGTTTCAGTTTGGGTGAAGGGATTATGACTGTTTTACCAGTAGTTGAGACTCATTTTGGAGACGTTTCGGCTTATATTCCTACTAATATAATTTCCATTACAAATGGGCAAGTATTCCTATCCACATATTTTTATAGCTTTCAGTTCTCCAGATCTAAATTTCAGTATTCCATAGCAAACATCGGGCCTGCATTTCTTGGGTTTTATTATCTCCCTATTTGTACACTTAGAAAGCTTGCCTTACAGCCGTACTCTACTCTATTATTCTCTTATTTAACCTGGAAGTCTTTCGGTCCAATCTATGTAGCTGGATATTTCAACAAAGATATACCTATATCAGATACATATCTTTTACTTAAAAACTTTGATAGTTGATGGATGCACGTCAGACTCTTTACACCTTATCCACAACTTTACAATTTACTTGATTTTTAAATGTGGGCTTTATGTAGTTTGTCCAGATTCTTAAAAATAATATGATTATTCTCATAACTGTTGATTTGTATACTGGAGGATATGTGATAATATCTAAGACATGATGCTCCTTTGATTTTGCTATTGCTACACATTCGTGCTAGAGATAGCAAAAATTAACAAACACAGGTACATGTATAATTTAGTAAACTCGTATCCATAGCTTGCTTCCATACTGTGTGCATGTCTATGTTTTGTACTCTTTCTTTTTTGTGTATCCATGTAATACCCATGTCCTAGTTTTGTTTTTCTTTTTCTGAATCCTTTTTATCTCCATACCTGTATCCTATAATACCCATATCCCTTATTTATTTGTTGTTTCTGTGCTTCTCAATGTGTCAACATGTCATTTTGCTATTTCTCGTTCTTATCTTTTGTTGACCTTCTATGATTGTAGTGATTGTAGGGATTTGACGAGAATAAGCACCTACGGTACAATCGAACAGGAAATATAAATTTATTCAGTTTTCTTTTACTGTTAGCATAATGTTTTTTTCCTTCATGTCGTCCTTAGTCCTTATCTTCTAGTTATTTTTCATTATGCATGCTTGTAGGCAATAAAAATTGCCTTAATTCCTAGCAAAGAAGCTCAAACTTGACAAAAATGCTAATATCTCTCAAATCGTAAGGAATTTGACGAAACGGACAGGAGCAAACCGAACACTTTGGCGTTGGTTTGGTTGGTTCCGTCTCGTCGAGATAGTCAGTTTTCATATATAATTCGTCCAATTCCGACTTACGGTTTGAAAGTTATGACTCATTCTTCGTAGCATGTTCTGAAGCCCACATGCAAGACTGGACTTCGCCTGAACATTGAAGTTCGCCTGCAATGCTAAGTTCGCCCGACAACTTAGCTCACATGAACTAATTGAAGCTCGTCTGACAGCTTCATCTACGAGGTTCGCCACGCAGCGAGGCTCGACATCAGAAGACGATGTTCGCCATGCAGTGATGCTTAACATCAGAAGACGATGTTCGTCATGCAGCGATGCTCAACATCAGAAGACGAGGTTCGCCACGCGGCGAGGCTCGACATCAGAAAACGAGGTTCGCCTTGCAGCGAGGATCGACATCAGAAGACGAGGTTAGCCACGCAGCGAGGCTCGACATCAGAAGACGAGGTTCGTCACGCAGCGAGGCTCGACATCAAAGTTCATCACTAGGGACAAAATTCCTCTAGGAAATGAAGCCCTTTCGAGAGACGAAGTTTGTCCACAGACGAACTTCGTCAAACGGCACCTCACCCCTCAAAATACGAACTTCGTCATTGAAGACGAAGTTCGTCCAGAGACGAAGTTCGCCCAGAAACGAAGTTCGTCATTGAAGACGAAATTCGTCGAGAAACGAAGTTCGTCATTGAAGTTGAAGTTCAGCCAGAAACAAAGTTCGTCATTGAAGATGAAGTTCGTCGTTGTCATTATTGACGAACCTCGTTTGTCACCATTTCCAGAGGCTACATTTAGGGAGGGTTAATGATCCATAACTCACCCATTTAAGGAGAGTTAATGATAATTAACTCACCCATTTAAATGGGAGTTAATAACCATAACTCCCTCATTATAAGGGGAGTTAAAGCTCATTAACTCGCTCCATAATGGTCCTAAGCCTATAAATAGGCATGATCAACATGAAAGAAGGGGGAGAGGAGATGGAGAGGTTAGTCAAAAAGCCTATCTCTCCTCTACTCTCATGGATCTTCATAGATCATCAGCTAATCATTTGGCCTTGGAGCGTCGAAGCTCATAACAAGCATGACGAGGGTCATTACAATGACGGACCTCGTCTCAAACAATAAACCTTGTCGTTGGAAACAAGATTTGAAGCTCGTCAGCGAAGACGAAGCTCGTCAGTGAAGACAAAGCTTGTCTAACGAACCTCGCCACGTAACGAGGCTCATCATCCACACGAAGTTCGGCTGTAACGACCACGAGGACCAAGTCAGCCCACGTGAGCTAAATCTAAGGAGTACGTTACGTTCCATTAATCAACATGGCTAAATCTCAGGAGTCGGTTACGCCCACGACCCCACGATTGTAGCACGTCAATTACGTGCTAAAGATCTATAAATAGCCGCAAGCAGCTATGAAGATTGGGAGGGGGGACTTTTAAACTCTTGGCAATTTAGACCTCGAGAATCATCAGATATCAGAGCTTCTGCGTGTAAATCCGGAGTTCGAATTTCGGTTCCAGTCGGCTAACTAACGTGAGAAGCTTCAGCAATCTTGTTCTGATCGTCAACGGGAGGCAATCTCGACTCAAGCATCGGGGGAAGCATCCTTTCGTCACCAAGAACCCACATTAAACAAGGAGGAGCTGAATTAATCTTCTCTTTATCTGTAATCGAGAGAGAATGTGAGTAATTGTAAGGGTTTCATACCAAGTGATCGAACCTAGTGTTCTTAAAACAAGAGAATCAATCCCAGTCAATTTTTCGACCCTACAATGCTATGATCATCCTCTTTTAGATCAAAACACTTGCTTCTTCATTGTATTACTTGTGAACTTGTTATCATCTTTCATGTAGCATCTTAATTTTTTACAATCTTTTTGCTCAATTGTATTTGCTTTCTGTTTCACCGATAGTTTAGTGCATCGTATCAGGAAAGATTCACATGGTCACCTTATTATCATTTCTCCATCCCAAATTAATTGCTGCTCTGCGGTCTTCCTTTCACCCTTCTATTTCTATCTTCTGGGTCTTTGACTCACATTTTTTACTTGTGATTGAAGGAAATAAATGCAGTTCTAGGGGAGCGCCTATCTGCTGAAGATGAGGAAGATGTTTTAGCTGAATTTGAGAACCTGGAAAGCGAGGTAAGTTTCATAGCTTTTCCAGAAAGGAAAGTATTTAAGCTTTTGCTATTGGATAGAAGGAAAATATTTATTTATTTCTCTCTTTTAACTGTCAAGAATGTATCAAACTAATAATTTAAACTTTTTGAAATGAAAAAGTACACGACATAATTTCTTCATCACCATAATGCAAGGTTCTGTTAAATTTATGCATTATTTGCACCAGAGACCTTCATTTTATTAGAAACAATAGTTTGATGTGTTTACATTTAGATATATTTGTTGAACAATGCCCAGAAGAATGCCAATAAGTGAAAAATAAGCATGTGAAAATACTAAAAATAAGCATGTGAAAATATCAATCGCGTCTGAGCTCAAAGTAACAGTGTCAATAGTTACCAAGGGTATCTAACCAATTGTCATTGGTTTGAGAAATTCTTCATTAAATAAAGATATAATGAGCATGATGCAGTGAAATTGATTCAGAGCTCAACATAGAAACCTTGACATGGATGTTTTGCCCAGAGGGACTAATATGAAATTATAGTGTATACCTAAAAGGTTGAAAAGCCAAAGTTCAACTACGAGAATGGTGTGGCTTGCACATATGAGGATCTGACACCAAGTAGAAGGAAAACAATTAGAATGGTGTTTCTTGGATGGATGGAAGCATGCAGTTGGCTTCCTTGCCAATAGGTGGAAGTTTGCCACATGCAATGTTGATCCGAAGCAAACATGACTGTGTTGTGAAATTAGAGTTAGGAGCCAAAATGTAGACTTGTGGGGGTTTTTGTTCACATTTGAGGCAGGTATTCAGCGTTCACATTCTATTAGGTGTTTCCCCTCATTTGTCAAAAACTTTTGATTCCTTTCAACCAGTAGCGCTTATGATATTGTCAAGATAAAGCGAGGAGGATGTACATTATTAATCCCATATTGCAAGCTGTTGCTTTTCTTCTTTCATCCTATACCACAAAAGGGGTCACATATCAGCATGCATATTATGGTTCTCTACCCCTTGAAAAAGCAACTCTTTTGTCCAAAAAATTTCTAACTCAACAGTTCATAATAAAGAAGGACGAACAACTAAATCTTATCTTACAACCGAAAATTTTTGTTTTCCTTTTTCTTCTTTGTTGCAGATCACCCTTCAAGATCTGCCCGCGGTTCCTGCCGCAGAGGTGCCTGTCGCCGAGGAAGCAGAAGAAGCTCATGCTGATGAGGAACTCGATCTTCCGGATGTGCCATCCAAGACCCCAGTTATAGCAGA